TTCCGGTGGAGTGGAGAAAGGTGTTAGTGATAATCTCTTGTTATCATCATCATCAATAGTGACTATAATGATAATAATAATATGTAATGATGTCAGTCATGATAAATGTTAATGCACATTAAGTTTGAACTGAATCTGGTTAAATTAAGAGTTTTGGCTGATTAAAAAATTGGCCAATTTATGAAAAAATCCCTGTACTATAGCCCATCGTTTTTTCCAAAAATGGCTTCAAAATCACCTCCAATTTTTATTACGTTTTCTAATACGTATTGACGTCCTTATGCTGTGTAGAAAGTTTGATCCAATTCCGACTTCAATTTTTCAAGTTATGGCCATTTTAAGAAAACGTCAAAATTCTGAAAAAATCCAAGGCTATAGCCCATGCTTTTTTCCAAAAAATGGCTCCGAAATCACTCCCAATTTTTATTACATTTTCTAATACGTATTGATGTCCTTATGCTGTGTAGAAAGTTTGAGCCAATTCCGACTTCAATTTATCGAGTTACGACCATTTTAAGGAAACGCCAAAATTCTAAAAAATACCCTGTACTATATAGCCCATGGATTTTTCCAAAAATAGCTCCAAAATCACCCCCAATTTTGATTATATTATCTAATACATATTGACGTCCTTATGCTGTGTAGAAAGTTTGAGCTGATTCCGGCTTAAATTTTTCGAGTTACGGCCATTTAAGAAAACCCCAAAATTCTAAAATCACCCCCCCAATTTTTATTCTACTTTCTGATACATATTGATGTCCTTATGCTCTGTAAAAAATTTGAGCTGATTCCGACTTAAATTTTTAAAGTTACACCCATTTTAAAAAATTAGCCAATTTATGAAAAATCCCTGCATATACCTAATAATACCTTATATAGCTTGTGCTTATTTTCTAACTTACGTGTTTTGCTTTGAGTGTGTGGTACATCCTCTTCTCCAACAAATCTCTCATTTCCTTCATCTTCAATCGACTCATTTTCCAATAATTTTAACTCCTCTTCACTCACATTAAATATCTAACAACAACAAATAAGTAAATAAATGAATAAATAAATAAACAAACATTAATAATTAAAATAAAGTAAGTGGTCTTACATCATGAACATGAGCAGTCATTATTTCTACAACTTTTGCTTGATAGCTCATGTTGGCTAGTAATTCAAGTGATGGGATCATCTCTCTATAAAAGGAAGAAAGACAGAGTGTGTGTACATGTATTACAATGGAGCCTCTATACAATGGACACTTTGGGTCGAGAAAGTGTCTCTGTTATACAGAGGTGTTCTTTGAAGGAAAGGAGAGTGTGTGTAAATGTATGCAATTGCAACAGTGCCTCTATATCATGGAAATTTTGGTACTGTAAGTTGCTCTGTTATACAAAAATCACCCCCATTCTTATTACAATTTTCTGATGCATATTGATGTCCTTATCGTATGTAGAAAATTTATTTAAGCTGATCCTCTTAGTTTCAACAACTCTGTTCAAGTAGGCCTGATACTTGAATCCTTTATTAAACATAGTCTTGAAGGAGCTCCTGGATTTAGTAACAGCTTCATCTAGATGATCAACTTCATCACAATCCCCGCCACAATCCTCATCATCAACTCCAGCCATGATGATATCCATTATCCAACCACTCCCACAATCAGTTAATTAACACACTTTTATTGCGTGGGTGTTCATGATGTTTTAAAGTTCCAGTTACATACAAACTCTCTAATCAATGATTATAAAGTGATCCTGTCATACATCACTAGTAGTGAATGACATGCTTCCTTTACTGTCTCCTCTTCCTCCTCTCTAATAGCTCTATCCAGTACCAATTTACCAATGACACTACTACTTATACAGATACACCACATTCCATTACATTAGCATTGTGAGTACTAAATAGTCTCTCTGATATCCTCATCACTCCTTCTCTCTAATCAATGAGTGAGGCAGAGCAGTACTAGGGGGTCCCGATTATTCCGGAATAATTTTGGGAATAATAGCAGCAAATGCAAAGTTTTTGAATTTTTTAATGCCTGAGCTAGTTGTAACTCAATTTTTGAACAAAGTTCAGGTTCTGAAATTGATATAGAGACATATATTTTGCAGTCTCTGCTGATAGTGATACTTTAAATAGCTTCTCAGACAGACTTACTAATAATCATTTTTATTGTAGTTAGCTCATGATTGTAAAGAATAAAGTGAGAATAATAGGGCAGAATAAAAAGAATAATAGGCAAATTTTTGAGAATTTCTGAATAGAATTATAGGTAAAAAAAATTAGCATAATCGGGACACCCCTAGCAGTACTGCACCATGATCACGTTTCTGCACGTGGTCACTAATAAAACTGAGTAGAGGTGTGGTCTAAGTGATAATTAATTTGTTGGAATGTTAGGCGTGGCTCGTTGTTTACTAATGTTTAGAAGAGCTAGAGGATGTCTGGAAAAAGTTAGTTTATATCTCCCTACCATCTTCCCTCCTCCTCTGTCTTCATACTCTCTCTTTCTATTTATTCTTCTGTAGTCATTGTCTTCATTTCTATCATTATTCATTTTAATACTACAGGTTTCAAAATAAGAGCTAAGCACAAAGCTCCTGTAATAGGGGAGTCCCTCTACCTGTGGGCTGGGAGCCAGGTTAACTTACCTGCAGTTCATGAATCACTTCAAAAGAAGGATCTGACCTCAACAGTTGATGTGTACCAGCTTTCTGCTGCTGACTGGTCCTCTCACCTAACAAGAGGTACTCCTCCATTAGGAGTAATTGGCTACTCCTGTACCACCTCTCATTCTAATATTTACTATTTCGGTGGATATTGTGGTCATGATGACTGTTACCACAATACGTTGAATGTACTGAATACGATAAAGATGGAGTGGACTTTATGCAGTAATGCTGAACAGTCGTTGATGAAGAAAGGCTATGCTGGAATGATATCACTGGAATTTGATGGAGCAGAATACCTTGTCATAATAGGAGGGAGAGGTTCTACACCAACTGTTTACCATCCTCAGTTTCAATATGATCAACTTAATGATGGCGGCGTTCGTACTAATGAACAGTTACTTTATAATGTGTCCACTGGTAAGATTCTCAGCTTTATACATGTACATGTATACATTATACTGATTTACTTTTGATAAAAATTGCTTGTACATGTACTTCAAATTCATAATTACTGTACATGTGTATATTAATTACATGTATAATTATAGCAATATAATAGGTAACAACCGTAAGATGTATTGATAGATGATCACTGTATTCTCTTCACTTAATTTAGGACAATTCACTGTTCCATCTGTCAGTGGACAGTGTTGTCCACCAACTAGTAGTTTCATAATTGAGAAGATTACTACTACTGGTAACAGAGGAGTAATGTTTGGAGGACGAGTGACTGTTAATGGTGATCTGAATACAGCTACTAACAGTGTTTACATATTCAGTGTGACACATAGTATCATAGTAAGTTGTATTATATTTTGTTGTATTGTAACAAGTGCAAATAAACAATACGCCGTGATGTAGCAGGCTACTGTAGGTGCATTGGATACTCTCCCTAATATTATGTACTCTTGGTAATACAGTATTTCCTCAAATAGGGGCCCTACTCAAATAAGTGCCTATCATTAATATATTACCACTATAGATACGCACATATCCAAGTATTTATTAATTTATGGTTAGAGTGGCCCAAATGGCCTATTTGTTCATCTGCAGTCTTCAGAACATAGAGTCACAGGTTTGAGCCCATGTTTTGGCACTTTTTTATTTTATTTTTTGTGAATTTTGCCTCTGTTAAGCAATAAATGCCTAGGCCCTTATTCAAGGAAATACACTACATTATTTCAGTATTATTATATTCTACCTAACCCAAACTTCAAAGACGCTGCAGTGCTGATAAATCGTTTATACTGCCCTAGGGCACTTCTTATTTATTATATACATGTACATGTACATGTATGTATAGGTTATGCACCAAGGTAGAGGTTTCTATGGGATTTATTAACTGAGCAATGCAGTCGCAAGGTTAATAAATGTAGCATACTGTGATGTTCTAATGGCCAGTCAGAGTGAGAATATTTAATTACGATATAAGACCCCGTTTACACTAATCCATTTTCACATGTAAACAGAGACTTTTTGATTTTGATACAGCTTCTGTTTACACTAATACATGAAAACGCATCACCTATCCCAAGCAAAATGTAAAAGGATACCAAAGTGGATACTTCTATAAAGGAATGATAAATCTTATGAAAATGCAGCTGCTGGATTAGTGTAAACACCTAAAACGAATAATAGCTCGAGTGATAGCAAAAACAATCCAGATTCAGTGAAGTGGATTAGTGTAAATGGGGCCTAAATCAGCAGAACAATAGCAAGTATGAGTGCTATTGTAAACTGGTGAGTAACAAGACAGCAACTGATATAATAATACACCAAGATGAATGACATAGGCTGAGGTGTATAACCAACTTCTACCATGACATTTGAAGAAACCTAGCAGCTGCTGATCATAAGATCACAGTTGACATACATACAACATATCTCACAGGCTAGGCCAGTAGAGAATCAATCAAACTTGACAAAACTAATGGACTAATAAGAGCATAAGCATAGAGCATCAAGATTCTAAGTGTTCCCGGGAGGTATCTAATAGATTTATAAACCTAGGCTGGTATTCTGCATCCTGACTGGTCAATTTAAATTTGGCCCATGGTAGAAATATAAATATTATAGTCATGCTTAGGTAGTCTGGTATTTCATATTATCAAGTATGTTGTGTACCAATAGATTTGTTATACCTCCAGTACTTGTACATGTATAATACTAAACACAACCACTAACCTCACCTCATTAACATCAAAGTATTAAATATTAGGATTAATTTTTACATGTCACACCCATTATTTGTATAGCCACACCCATTATTCATATTTACGCTGACTGATATTATTAGTATTTGTTTATGTATCTAGAACTGGGAGATACTGAAACCAGGAGCAATACCTAATGAGGGACTGTGGCCTATGGAGAGATATTGTCATGCTAGTGCTATTATCAATGGTGACTCTACCTCACCTACACTAGTAGTGATTGGTGGAAAGGATAAGAAGAATCAACTAGTTAATGAATGTTTGTTATTTGATAGTATCACTACTGGTCAGTATAGTTGTAGGAAGGTATGTGTGTGTATAGTACTGTATAATGATGTGTGTGTATGTATAGTTAGGTCAGTTGAGAGTATGACACTAGTACTGATGTATATTGATGATAGATTAGTAATTGTTAGTGTGTTCAGTAGATAAGACTATCACTGATGAAACATTAACAATACAATAGAACCACCCACACATTTGATTAAAAATTACACATTACATTATTTTGTGAATCAACCTTAATGTGTGTGCGTGTGTGTGTGTGTGTGCGTGTGTGCGTGTGTGTGTGTGTGTGTGCGTGTGTGTGTGTGTGTGTGTGTGTGTACTATTAACAAATTTCCTATTTTTAAAATATTGAGATTTAATTTTGTACATATTTTGTTATTCTTTACATGATGTGCATGAAATAAAATGTATATTTTGTTCAGATTAGAATTGATTTTACAATTACAATAAATGTAACGATCATCTACATATGAAATGATACAATTTCTCATTTTTATAAGTAACTGTATAAACATCATGTATCAGTAATTACTTGTATACTTCTCTTTATCTACAGATTCCTCTACCTGAATCTGTTACTGGTAGATACGCTCACTCACTCACAGCAGTCACAATGTCACCACACTGTGTGTGGCTAGTAATTGTTGGAGGATGTAAAGAGTTTGAATGGAAAGATGTTGGAGGAGGAAAGGAGGAACCATGGGTTACATATATCAATGATACTAATAGACTAACAATGATAATTGGATTAGGTAAGATAATATTAATTAATTGTAAGGATACGAGCATTAAATACATAATTACATTAAATAATGTACCACTCATTTTTATAGTATGTACATTATTTGTAAATTTCAGTTCCTAATATGACTTACATTTTCCATTCATTTTTGTATACTGTACACACTACAATACCACTGTATGTGTGGGTGTGTATTTACAACCACTATAAATGATACCATTAGTTTATAAATTAAATACATTTATTTATAAATATATAATGTATGTTATTGTGTCTCAGTATATAGTGAAGCTGGTGAGTGGATAGTAGAGTCAGTACTGGATGGTAATGATCTCACTAGTAAGAACTATCAAAAAAAGTATCAATCGTACAGCAAGACCAGAACATGGCGGATGGATCAGCTAATAGAATATCCGACAGAGAGGGAAATAAAGCTTCAGAGATATATACAATCTTTAGATGAAGACCTACAAGTGGCTCATGAGAGCAAAGTATCACTACAGGAGGCACTGGTTGAGGCCAATAAACAAGGTATATAGGATACTACACACACACAGACTTTAACTGTACTAACTGATTACTATTATGTAGTATTGTGTGGTTATTGGTAGTGTGAGTGTATGTATTAGTACTGGTTTACATTATCATACTAGTGGATTAGACAATGTTAAGTATGGAAATACCGTAATTCTTCTAAAATTTCGCACCTCTAATTTCAAAAAGAAATAATTTTTAGGCACTTTTATTTCAAAATTAATTCTACTAATTTGTTTTGTAAATTATGATGAAAGTTCTTCTAATTTCACCATTTCCCTCCGATTTCGACACTTGACAGCATTATAACACATGGGCCTGTGCTGCAAGAGGCAAAAAATCATGTCTAACTCACAGTGATGCCTCGAGCAGCACTCCGCCGGACAGATGACTGCCATTAGTAGGCCTAAGTTCAAGATTCAGATTGTGTTAGTCAAGCAACAAAGAAGCATCAACAGACTTATATCTTGTCCAAATATGCACCTTAGTGCCTCCTATTTCGTCATAATTAATTGCTAGTTGGCCATAAAGGCTTAGTTTACTCTAATTATTCATTTTCAAAATTTATTTATCAAAAGTGACTGTGGGAAACTTTTAGAAGATTTACGGTAGTATCCTGTACTCAATAAAAAGGTCAAAATTGTCCATGCATTAGAAATAATGAGATTGATGTAGAGTGAGCTCTGCTTACCATATATGGTATGATTAGCCATAATCATAGTACATGTATTTATGGGCTACTGTACATGCAGTGCAAATTTGTATAAGCTAGAAATAATATTGAATATGATTATCTAATGGCTTGTACATTGGTTGAACCAGTGTTTGGTGTGTATATATTATGTGTATATTCTGTTGTGTTATTATGCATAATACTGATTACTCTCTTCTTTTATATTATTATTATTCAGTTAAAGGTGATGATAGTAATGATATTATGAGCAGTGTATTAGACATCAGTACATATTATTAGATGAGAAAATATTCTATTAATGTATAGAGGATAATGAAAAACTGAAACTCAAAGTAGTTGATATGGAGGAGAAGGAGGAACAATATCTCAAAGAGAAACAGATCATTATTGGTTAGTGTATCATTATTAATCACTAATAATTATTAGTATGGGCTACTGTACATGCAGTGCAAATTTGTATAAGCTATAATTATATCATTTTATTTTCTGTCTTTGTATATTTATGGGCAATTATAGAAGATTATGAGAAGCTTAAAGCTAAAGTTGCCGATAATGAAGTATATGTAACTAAAATATTGAAAGAGAAGACACGAGTAGAGGAGAAGAAACAGGTTATTACTGGTTAGTGTATCATCAGTACATAATATTAGATGAGAGAATATTCTATTAATGTATAGAAGATTATGAGAAACTTAAAACCAAGGTTGCTGATATGGAGGAGAAGGAGGAAAAATATCTCGAAGAGAAACAGATCATTATTGGTTAGTTAACTATACACACAGCATGTATTAGATGAGAGAATATGTTTATTGTGTAGGCGACAAACAAAATCTCAAAACTGACATTTCAAAGAAAGACAAAGTTATAGCCAAACTGACATCACAAGTAGAGGAACAATCACAGAATGAGAAAAAGATCATTACTAGTTAGTGCATTATCATCAATCAATAATAATTATTAATATTCTATTAATTTATAAACCTTAAAGAAAAGGACTCGTACATAGCCAAACTAATGAAGGAGAAGTCACAACTACAGGAGAGAGTCACATCCTTAGAGGAACAATCCATCAAAGAGACCAGTTCCATTGGACTACAATTTAATTACCTGATCCCTTCAATGGGTAAGAGTATTATTGTGTGACTGACTACTAAGTACTGCTAACTACTGATTTTATCAGACAACAAGCCTATGTACAGTATTCATGAGTCATGACATCATTCATTGATGTTTATACAATACCGTGTATAATGTATATAATCTTCCTATCCCAGTTACATAGTATTCATTATCTCTGATTATTCTATATAAGTCATACAGATCAAAGGTACCATGCATGGTTTATAGTGGATATTCGAATATCATTGTATATCTGCCAATATCCCTATGAACCATGCTAGGTGACCTTTGTTCTGTATGGCTTCTAAATAAACTAGTTATTTGTGACCATAATTGACAAAAGGTACATGTACCTTATGGCGGATAGGAAAATTGATCTTTATAGCCTAAAAAATCCAACTTCCTGACCTCCATTTATCATAAAATTAGTCCAGAGGATGCAAAAAGTTACTATGTAACTTTACTATGTACTATGTAACTATTGAAACGCCAAATTTGCCAAATTTGATTCCCTCCAAAATTTCCCGCTATATGGTAGTCTGTTTGGGGCAGTGCGACCACGTGTTATTATGTAAACTATGACATCATAAAACGTCATTGCGGTTAGCTTTGGTATGCCATTAGGTTTATAGGGAGAACCCGGTTCTCAGGGTTCCCAAAGGCTATGGAACTCAAAACCTGATATTCTGAAGTGGCATTGGGCTACTAAGTCTCATCCTTATCTCACATTCCTATAAAAAGTTATTTCAATTTTCTTGGGTCAAATTGCAAATTTAATTTTGCAAATTTATGCTGTCTGAGAACTGCCATCTTGTACTGTAATATTATTGATTTTTACCGAAGTAATTTTAGTGAATCTTTAAAAAATTGCAAAATTTACAGCCCTCAAACATTTTGCGCTATAGGGTATTATACATGTATGTTGTAATACTCTTGTCAGTAAGATAACTACATGTATAATCAAAACTAATTTTGTGATAAGTTCATTTAATTTACAATAAAGAAATAATAATAAGTCTGATTATTTTCAATTTTGTACCCCCTTAGTTGACGAACTGAAAAAGAAAAGAATTCAAGCACCATTGTTATCATTGCTAAAACCCGATAGACAAAGTATTAAAATAACATGTCAACTATCTAAGATTTGTGTATTTTATTTTCAGAACTGATGACTATTCTTATATACATTGTATTCCTCTCTTTCATAATTTATGCAAGTTATGGACCGCAAAGCAGTTTTATTGGTAAGATTGTACTTACATTATTATCATAATTATAATAAATATAATAGCTCCCCTGCCTGGTGTTGAGGTAGTCAGAAGTACTAATGTTGTTGTACCAGGCGGTAGAGCAATAACGATTGAAAAATTTGGTCTCATCATTGTTTCTCCTCCTGATGCTCTTCCAGATGGTCTCTTTTCTGTTATTAATATACGTCTTGGTATATCCGGTCCTTACATTTATCCTGATTCAGACACTAATCATACTATGGTAGCTGCCAGCCCTGTGTATTGGCTGTCCAGCAGTAAAGAGTTTCTTAAACCTTTACAGTTTGGAATACGTCATTATACTAGTCAAAAATCAATAATAAAAGTTTATACTGCTGATAACAATCAAATGAATATGTCCTACATCTTTGAAGAGATTCCTAACGTCACTGTCAGTAGGGATTATGTCTACTTTTCAGTGAACCACTTCAGTGGTTTTTCAGCAAATAGTACTGAAACTACATTTTGTGGAACATTATATTATCAGAGATCTCCTACTGTTAAGTTTCAATGGGATTATAACTATGTGATATCTCAATGCTCACTGGTAGATCTACATGATTTTGACAAGGTCAGCATGTAAATTATGATTAAAACTGAATTTTGTTTTATCATGCAGACTTGGTCAAAACAATTTAAAAACCATATGATACTATTTGAAGAACATAGTACAGAAATAGAACTTGTTATAGAATTCAATCCTTCAAAAAATTGGAGTGTTGTGGCAAGTTTTGATCTGGTTGTAAGTCAATAATTTTACTGTGTAATAACTTTTGATGAGAAATTAATAGTATACAAAAGAGATTTTGCAAATGAACTACATTGCAAATAATATGCAATTTTCACTGCAATGGACAAGAAATGATGGCCTACCAGCTTCAGAAGAGTTAAAATTTTTTTTGAAAGGTGCTCGAACCCCCAGAAATATAACTGTCAAAACACAATCAAGTAATTACTCGTTATATAATTGAATTCACTGATGATAATTTTTATATAGTTGACTACTGGGAATATTACTTGTATAATAAATTCTTCATTGTTGTTGCATCTGTAGTTACAATAATGATTGGCTTTTTTATCCTCATTTTAGTATTATCTTGTCAAGGTAATGTTTTTTCAATGCATTTATACATCTAGTTGTACCTGACCAGTCAGATTGCTTGGTTTCAGGAACATTCTATCAATAGCAATTAGTTTTCTATTTTTAATAGTTGTTGTAAAGTTATTTTTACTGCATAGGTAATAAGAAGGATATCCTCATTTTATTCATAATTATGATTATTATAATTTCGATTTTCTTGATATCATATTGCTTCCAAGATCACATTAACGAAATAATAAGTAAGGAAAATAAATTAATGTATTGTCACATACACATGATTTATCAATATAATATCAGACATAATTACTAATGAAAGCAAAGCAGCTGAAAAATAGTCATTTTATTACTGAATTATTTATTTCATAGAATATTTAATTTTTATTTTACAATCTATATTGGCTGCATTGCTACTATATTTAGTGTTTTACCGTCTTGTTCCTGGTAAGTGAATATTTCCATTATTATTTATTTTATTTTACAATGTTATAGAAATGAAAAGTACCCTTGTACTGGAACAGTTATGGAATAAATTATTATTCATGAAAAACAATAAATAATTGATAATAATTCAACTAAGTGTGCTTTTACACTTCCATTTGCTGATAAATAATAATGATGCTCATATTAATTTTTGTAATTTTGTTCTCTTTAATAATAAGCTGTTAATTTACTAATTTTCCTCCCACACATTTATACATTTTTTATGTCCTTGTTCTCTTTGTTGATGTTCTCCAGTTCTCCTTCCCCCTCTTTGTAATTTTGTTTATCTCTCTCTCAGACATTGCATCATGTATCCACCTTTCATCTACCATGTATTTACTTGTATTTTAACTTTTCTATATTGTATGTACTTTTAGTGACCCCATTTATATTCATGTATTTACTTGTATTTTGCTATAAACTTATCACAGCATTAACTGATAAATAACTGTACTAAATATATTAACTTTTATTTTTAAAAAAGAGTAAGCATTCAATGAGGTAAGTATAAAAGGGTGAATAGTCACTAATAGTGACTGAAGCATAGTTAGTAGCAAATTTTTAAGGTTGATTGACGACTAATTGAATTGTTCAATAACATTAATAACTATTAATAGTAAATACAAGAGCAATATTCCGTGTACTGCTATGGCTAATCATGTATCTACATCTATCTACTTTTTCAGCACTTTCTCATGTATATACATGAGTATCATGTATACATGTGCGATGTCTGCTCTCTCTCTCTCTCCCTCTCTCTCTCCCTCAGAGCAATCTCTCTTTAGTATACATGTGTATATATATGCCTCTTTATCTTGCCATGCAATGATGTCCTGTATATTATTATTATTATTATTGAACAATTTACAAAGTGTGAACAAAAGGAAATAGTATATAAACAAACGAACAATTAGAGAGAAAAAAATTTATGGGCCCAACAAACTTTGAGGGGTTACTAGTAAATATCTACTAGCACCCATTAAAATAAAATAAATTAGCAAGATAAAAAAAGAACAGGATAATTTAGAATAAAATAAAATAAAAGAGATAAGAGATTTGAGGTAGGGAAGAGATAGACAACTAGGAAAAGTCACAAAACCTTAATAATAACAATAACTAGAAGAATTTAAAACATTAAAGCTATAGATTATGTGCTGTATGATCTACATGTATGAGCAAGTAAAGCAATTGCACAAGTCTAAATACAGTAGATCTTGCTGCAGTCATCTTGCTCTTTCACTTCATCGAGTATATTTTAGTCTATTTTGAGAAATGGAGTTTTAAAATTGAGACTAGACTTTGTACCCTAAACCCTAAATTCTGTAGTAAATTTGTCTAAATCTGTGTTTGGTGTATCTGGTCCTTACATTTATCCTGATTCAGACACTAATCATACTATGGTAGCTGCCAGCCCTGTGTATTGGCTGTCCAGCAGTAAAGAGTTTTTTAAACCTTTACAGTTTGGAATACGTCATTGTACTAG